CGTAACAAAAAATATGGTGCACGGACCATGCGGAGAACATAACTTATCAGCACCATGTATGAAAAACGGTATTTGCACAAAAAAATACCCACGACGTTTAGTCAACGAAACTCAGACTGGAGAGGACGGATATCCAGTTTATCGTCGTCGTGATGCCGCAAATGGAGGACTGAGCGCTTCGCTAAATATCAGAGGCAGAAATTTCACTATAGATAATAGTTGGATTGTCCCATATTCTCCACTTTTGTGCAGGACGTTTAATGCTCACATAAATGTAGAGTACTGTCACTCAGTTCAAGCCATCAAATACATTTGTAAATACATAAATAAAGGATCGGACCAAGCTACATTTGGCGTCAGAAACCCAAATGATGAAGTGGAAAACTACGTAAATGGCCGTTACATAAGTACTTCCGAAGCTGCTTGGCGAATATTCGAATTCCCGATCCATGAGCGGCATCCTACAGTTTTGCAGTTAGCTGTCCACTTAGAAAATGGCCAAAGGGTGTATTTTATCACAGAAACGGCTGTACAAGTGGCCCAAAATCCACGTAAAACAACATTGCTGGCTTTTTTTGAGCTCTGTAATGAAGATGAATTCGCAAAAACACTTCTTTACCACGAAGTCCCGCAATACTACACATGGGCCAATAATAAGTTCACCAGAAGGAAGCGTGGTGAGAATGTAGTTGGCTATCCAGGCATAAAAAAAGATTCCGCTTTAGGTAGAGTCTACGGTGTCCATCCTTCTCAATCCGAGTGTTTCTATCTTAGGATGTTGCTGCACCACGTACGCGGTCCAACTTCATTCCAGTACTTGAAAACCGTTGACGGAGTTCTGAAAGAAACGTATCAAGCTGCTTGCCGTGCTAGAGGTTTGCTAGAAAACGATGACCATTGGGAAAATACTCTCAGAGAAGCTTCGCTTTCTCAATGTCCATTACAATTGAGAGAATTGTTTGTGGTCATACTTTTATTTTGTCAGCCATCGGAACCATTAAAATTATGGAACATTTTCAAAGACGATTTATGTGAAGATATTAGACACAGAATCAGACAGCAAAATCAAGACATCACCTTACCATACAATGAGGACATTTATAACGAAGGTTTGATACAAATAGAAAATAAACTGTTGCAATTAAATGACAAAAGCCTAAGTGATTTCGGATTACCATCATCAGTTCGTACAGAAAGCAATGCAGCAGAGACTATGACTCATCGCTATGATACAAATAATTTGACCGCTTTTGTCAATGAAAACCTGCCAAAGTTAGTCCCAGATCAAAGACATGCTTTTGAAACTATAGTCGATAGCGTCATTCATGACAAAAGAAAAGTTTTCTTTTTGGATGCACCTGGTGGAACGGGAAAGACGTTTCTTGCAAATTTGATACTTGCTAAGATAAGACAATCAGGGAAGATAGCAATAGCAGTTGCTTCCTCAGGAATTGCTGCAACTCTCTTGAAGGATGGCAAAACTGCTCATTCTACTTTTAAACTTCCACTATCCGTCAATCTTGAACAACAATCTACATGTTCCATCCGCAAAAATGGACCTATTGGTAAATTACTACAAGACGCCTCATTGATTATGTGGGACGAATGCACGATGAGCCATAGAGCACATATAGAGGCCGTGAACAGAACCTTACAGGATCTAAGGAACTCCTCTGCAGTCATGGGCGGGATTACTTTTGTATTTGCTGGAGATTTTCGACAGACTCTCCCCGTTATTAACAGAGGCACGCGAGCAGATATCATCAAGGCATGCTTGAAATCGTCTCCCTTATGGACTACGATTGAAACATTAAAATTAAGGACAAATATGAGAGCTCATCTTCATGGAATCACTGATAGCGATTTCCCACAGCAACTGCTAAAACTTGGGGAAGGAATTTTTCCAACTCCAAATTTAAGCGGTCATTGTGACATTCTTCTGGATGAGTCTCTAGGCCAAATACTCCATAATTTGGAAAATTTAATAGATTCTGTATACCCTGATATCGAGAATTTGCACGAAAGAGACTTCCATTGGCTGTGTTCTCGGGCTATAGTATCACCTAAGAATGATACTGTCAATGAAATAAACAATCTGATTGTTCAAAAAGTCCCCGGCCAAACAAAAACATACAAATCGATCGACACTGTAACGAATATTGAAGATGCAGTCCATTATCCACAGGAATTTTTAAATTCGTTGAACCCTTCTGGACTGCCACCCCATGAATTGACGTTAAAAATCGGAATCCCAATCATGCTTTTAAGAAATTTAAACCCTCCGAGCATGTGTAATGGGACGAGGCTGCTTATTAAGGAGTTAAAGGACAATTTAATAGTAGCAACTATTATCACTGGCCCAGCAGGTGGTCAACTAGCTCATATACCGAGGATACCGATGATCCAAACTGATCTGCCAATCCCATTTAAACGGCTTCAATTTCCGGTAAAAACATCTTTCGCATTAACAATTAACAAGTCCCAAGGCCAAACCTTCGAATTAGTAGGGATCGATCTGCGAAAGAAATGTTTTACTCATGGTCAACTGTATGTTGGTCTATCGCGAGTCGGAGCCCCTGAAAATCAATTTATTTTGCTGCCACAAAATAAAACAACATCAAATATTGTTTACAGAGAAGCTCTAACAAAATAAATGTATTTTCTTTTAGGGTTATGACCTCAATAATTGAAAAAAAAAACAAAAAATTAAAAAAATATATCAAAAAAAAGAAAAAAAACCCCAAAAATATACAAAAAAAAACACATAAATACAAAAAAATCATTAAATAATATCTGAATTTAATTATTCTTATTTTTTTTTATTTACTCTTTTTTAGGAGCTCGACGCAAAAAGGGATGAATATGTGTCATATTATTATTATTATTATGAATGTGTTAAAATTAACAAATCTAAATGTAATGTTTAATGCCCGTGCGAAGCCGGGACGGGCCGCTAGTAAAAAATAAAAAACAAAAAAGAATTTCTTTTGTCTGAAATCTTTTTAAAGTATAAACATTAATTATTATACAACAATATTTACTTTTTTATTTTAATTTAATCTTATATTCTACTCAGCATTTATCAGTCTTTTTAATTATCTTTTTAGGCATAGTATAACATAAAATATACTCATAAAAAATAAAAGTGCTTCTTAGTTAAAGAATCTAACGAAATCTAATCTGTATGTCTTAATAATTTCAAGTCCTCGTAAACATTTAAATTATGAAAAAATCAACAAAATAAGAACACTTTCAGCTACCAAAAAAAATAAACACTGTAATAAACTTATGAGAAATCAACATGAACATAGTTATAGCTTTGCATAATAAAAAAAATCAATTAGTCTTATAAGGCAAGTTGTCATAAAATTCATGGCAATCCCTGGGTATAACACTTTTTAATTGTTGTAAATGTTCATATTTTGACTTTGAGATTGGCAATCTTTCAGTGAAGAGTTGTGGTGGAATAACTAGCTCAACTCTTTTTGGTCTTTGTGGTAGTAGCTGAAACTCGTCATTGTAGTTAAGTTTGTATTCAATTGTACCTTTGGGATTGTACTTTAAGACTCTGATATCAACCACACACTTTGCCCCAGTACCTCTTCCAGGGCGGATTGTATCGTAAATAAGGTTGCTCTTAATACTATAATCATGAACGAATTAGTCTCTAATGAATGACTATAAACTTTAAAAAATGTGTGGTCTACCGTTGCTACCTCATATGGAGATGGATTCAGTCTAGCTTCTTTAGTAACCGAAGAGTATTGACTAGGTAAATATATTTCACGATGTTTTAGTTTTCTTTCTATTACCGAATGAACTGAATCCACCTCCATTTGAGTATGACCTTTTTCTAAAAATTTTTGTGTTAAGACAACGTTTTTCTCCATCGCCAATCGTAGCAGAGCGTTTGAAACCACAACATTTCTATTTTGTGATGTGCATCCATCAGTGAAAATAACGACGTTTTTTGGGGATTCTTCTATGATGTTTTTTAAATAATCGACAAAAAAGGAAGCGTAAGTTGATGCTTTTAAATCTGTTGCTATCTCATCAAACCAATAACACTTTACGTTATTATTACCCAGATTATATATTGTAAAATTATGAACCATTAACTTCGTTTTGAAATGCAATGCACTGGCCGTTAAGTATGGACACAATTTCACTGCTTGTAAATCGGCAGTTATTACGTAAAGTGTGCCATTCTTTGCAGCCTCTTTGTCCAACGCCTTCTCCTGTCTAGCTAAATCTTTTCGCGATACGTGTTGTTGATATTCTTGCTCTGAAATATTTCCTGCTTTGAATGAACAACACAGATCGCATGCGTCTTTTTTTGGTTGAAATAAAGCTATGTTTTCATCTTTCAAAACATTTTCGAATAGTTTTCTCGAAGCTACTTTCTGTCCATTTTTAGTAGCCTCTTTAACATAGATACGATATAGTTCACGTTTAGACTGTATTATGGGTTCTAGATACAATTTTGTACTTTCCTTTCTGCAATAGTGAGAAGGTAATTTAGGTATGGCTCTGAAAAATGTTTGCACTAACTCTGTCAACGAATGGCAAGGCAGTGCAGTATCTTCGTCACGTTTTGAGGTTGTATCTCTCTTAGATTTTTCTCCTAGCCAGTACCTTACTGTCCACTCCTTAATGCCTAACGTTCCTAAGAACGTTTTTAAACATACTCTCATTTTTTGGTCATTTAATTTTAAATAATAGATTTTTGTAATACCTCGCCTTGTAATAGCTCTTTCAGTGGTTTTCCTTTTAGTCAATTTTTTATCTACTAAGGATGAAACAAATATTTTCTTCGCTATCCAACTCATCTCCCAAAATTCTTTAAAAATAGCCATTCGTACACTTTCTGTAAATTTTTCACAGTTAATCACATTGCTTCTTAAACATTTACTTGAATTACAAGCCTCTCCAAGTTTTCGCGCAGGTCTAATTGAGTCTTGTAAAATTTTTTCGTCCGCACTCATTCTAAAACCTGTTTATTCTTGACCTAACATTCTCAAATTCTTATTCCTAAACCTTTTTGAAGACATTAGTTCTGCTTTTCGTTTCCTTACTTTAGAATCTTTTGCAAGTTCAGATTCCAAGTTTCTTTCAGGAAAAAAGTGATTATTGCTGTCTCTTGATGTCGAAGCTATCGGTTCAACATATGTTATTTCAGAGAGTGGAACGTAATCTGGATCAGCAACAGAGTCATCAGATGAAAAGTCGAAAGATGGTAATTCAATTGGTAAATTACTGTTTTCAGTACATACAACCTCCTCAGTACCACAATATGGTAAATTATTAGTCGAAGTCATAGTATTACCTATTTCCAGTAAACTTAATAATGAAGTACTGAAACTAGTTGTGTCACAGTTAGCTAAAGTTAAACTTTCTTCAGTTGGCTCTTCTTGATTTCCTGTTTTCGAATAAATTAAACTGGTTAAATTTTCAGGGAGTTCATTAGTATTGTTATGAGTTGCTGATTGCTTAAGCAAAATATTTTTTTTAATCTCTAATAATTTTTCACGTCTTTTCTTTAAATCATTTAATGTCGTAACATAAGGTGTTTCATCTTCTTGGAAAATAGAAAATAAGAATAAAATTTACTAAGTTTATCCATAATATATCACGTAAATCACATCTTAACTAACAACAAAACCGCGTAAATGCATTCCCTATGTACGAAAATATTCATAGAGAGTTCTATATTTTTATGATATTTTTCAATTTTTCAATGCGTTTATATAAATTAGGTTAATTACACATGTTCACCTTACAAATTTCTGCTTTTTTGCAAAAAAAATTAGTCGTAAGCACGGTATGGATGAATATATGAACTGAAAATTATTTAAAATACTACTAAATGTCGATATTCTATCGACAAAACAATAAATAAACATTGTATTAACACTTACTTGATGGTATACTGGTTATTTTGAACTAAGTTATAGCACATAGCTACAGGTGGATCGCTGACCTAACAGGAACGATTGCGACACGAGGCGTCGAGTTAGCATTCGCGGCATTGTAACGTTACACTTTTGTTTGTTCAATTTTACGTGAGAAATAAATTTATAAATTCCATCATTCTAATTGTTACATCGAGTAGCGTTAGACATAATAAATGTAAAATTAAAGTATAGTTTATAATAAAAGTATTTTTAAGTAAATTTTGTTTTTTTTGAGTTCTCTGGCTGTGTTGCTCTTAACTGGCGCAGTCGGTAGGATACTCAAAAGAGACGATAAGTAATCTAACATCGACTACTGTCTCGGAGTATCAGGAAGAACCAAGAAGCAGCAGCCCGAGGTGTATCCGAACATTGATACCAGAAAAAACTAAAATGCACATGTAAGTACATAGAATAGCCTGTGTCCTTATTTCCTTTCTATTTTATTGTTCTTATTTTATCCAGGATTTTCCACCCCAGGAAATCGAACCCGAGGGGTACTGCATCAAGTAGGACCTCTCGTAGAAATAATTTAGATTTAGGTAGAAATTTAAGATTAATTTCTGAAATAGATATAATGGCATCTCATGACTTAGAAACTATTTTTAAGGCAGTGCGCGCCGTTCCTGAATTCGATGGGATCCCTAATATTTTACCCAGATTTATTAATATTTGTGACCAAATTGTTAGTCACTACATAGGAACCGAACCCGGGTCAGAACTATCAAACCTTACGTTAATTAACTCTATCTTAAATAAAATAACGGGCTCCGCAGCACGTTTTATAAATTCGAATGGCATATCGGAAAATTGGTTAGGCATTAGGACAGCTTTGATAAATAATTTCTCAGATCAACGAGACGAGACCGCGCTTTATAACGATCTTGCTCTAGCTACACAGGGTAATAGTACTCCACAAGAGTATTATGAACGCTGTCAAACATTATTCAGCACTATCATGACTTATGTAATGCTTCATGAAACTATTCCAACGACAATTGAAGCCAAACGTACTCTGTATAGGAAATTAACTATGCAAGCATACATACGCGGTTTAAAAGAGCCACTAGGCTCACGAATTCGTTGCATGCGTCCTGATAGTATTGAAAAGGCTTTGGAATTCGTGCAAGAAGAATTGAATGCTGCTTATATGCAAAATAGAAACGAGTCATTTAGTGAAAGAAAGCATGCGACACCTAAACCTATTCAGCCATTACCGATATTTTCACCAACACCAAAAGCATTCAATTTTCCTCCAGCGACTTTCATGCCTCCAAACCAAAGGCAAACTTTACAACAGCCACAACATCAGCAGCAGCTACAATCTTGGAGACAAAATCAGGTAAGTGCACCTTATCATAAACAGCCAACACGCACACAACAAATTTTCCGCGCATTACCTCCTAATTATAATCACAATAGTAACATGTTTCGACTTCCCCCCAGAAATCAAAATCAATTTCAAAGACCTATGAGTGGAATTGTTAACTACACCCCGAAACAATTACCTCCTACAAATTTTAATTCACGCCCATTTGCACCACAAATTAACCAACAACCACACCACAGTAATTTTCCACGTGAAATGAATTTCCATGAATCTTATTTCCAGGACTATGACTATAATAATGACTCTGAATACTATTATGACCCCGAATCTTATTATTACTATCCGACATACTATACTGACTATACTGAACATGACTATGACATGAACACCATCACCACTCAGCAACATAACCAAACCGACTTGGTACAAGACGCAGACTTTGATCGACAGACCAATGAACCTAAATCGGATTTTCAAGAAACTCCCAAGTTAAAAAAGCCAAAATAGAAGTCAACATACAGACGCAAAGGCAGCTCCCATACATACAAATTAATAATCCTCCTATTAAGCTACTTATTGACACTGGTGCTAATCAGTCATTTATAAGCCCAGAAGCCGTTGAAAACTACTTTTCTAATATCCCACTCAACTATGACCCATTTGAAGTGACCAATGTTCACGCCACCACACGTAACAACTATTCGATTACTATACCGACCTTTACTGAATTTAATGACTCGAAGGACATGAAACTTTTCATATACAAATTTCATAACTACTTTGACGGACTCATAGGGTTAGACTTACTCGAACAGTGGGCGGCTAGGATAGATCTTAAAGATAAATTATTATATACTCAAAATGCTACTAATCCCATACATATGTATAACTCATGTAACGTAAATTTGTACGAAGATGTCATACCGGCGAATTCATCAAAGTTTATTAAAATACCAGTTAATAGTAAAGACGGAGACGTTTTAATCCCGGAGCAAGTCATTTCTAATTGTATTATAACTAGCTGTTTAACCTCTATAAAAAATAATCGTGGAATTTTGGAAGTTATTAATCCGACTCAACATGACGTGATTTTTTCTATGGATAGGAGTATTCTTACTGAAATTCATAATATAGAAGTTTTTAATAGGTTAAATTTATCATCCCGAGCAAAAGAGGTACTAAGTCGATTACGTACAGATCATTTAAATCCCGAAGAGCGTACTAATCTAGAGTTATTGTGTTCCAAATATGCTGATATATTTTACATTGAGGATGAGGCTTTAACATTTACTAATAAAATCAAACATCGCATAAGAACTATTGACGAAATTCCCGTACATAGCAAAAATTATAGATATCCCTTTATTCATAGAGATGAGGTTAGGAGTCAAGTAAATAAAATGTTGGAACAAAGAATAATAAGGCCTTCTAATTCCGCTTGGAGCTCACCTATTTGGGTGGTTCCAAAGAAAGCTGACGCCTCTGGTAAAATTAAATGGCGACTCGTTGTAGATTTTAGAAAGCTTAATGAAAAAACACTAGATGATAAGTATCCCATACCGAATATTACAGACGTACTAGACAAATTAGGCAATTGTCAATACTTCACAACTTTAGATCTTGCGAGCGGTTTTCATCAGGTCGAAATGCATCCCGATGATATTCCCAAAACTGCATTTAACGTAGAACATGGACATTACGAGTTTTTGAGAATGCCAATGGGACTGAAAAACGGACCATCGACATTCCAGCGCGTAATGGATAACGTCCTTAAAGAACTACAGAACACCATCTGCTTAGTATACCTGGATGATATAATTGTATTTAGCACATCTTTACAAGAACATATAATAAATTTGGAAAAAGTGTTTAAAAAATTAAGAGAATCCAATTTTAAAATACAATTAGATAAGTCGGAATTTTTAAAGTTAGAAACAGCGTATCTAGGCCATATTATCTCTAAGGATGGTATAAAGCCCAATCCGGATAAAATTAAAGCCATAGAAAAGTATCCGATGCCTAAAACTAATAAAGAAATAAAACAATTTTTAGGTTTGTTAGGTTACTATAGAAAATTTATCCCAGATTTTGCAAAACTTACTAAGCCTCTAACAAAGTGCTTGAAAAAGGGTAATAAAATAATTTTGAATGAGGAATATGTAAATTGTTTTGAAAAATGTAGGAAAATTTTAGTGAACGACCCCATACTACAATATCCTGACTTCAATAAGGAATTCATACTTACTACTGACGCATCTAATGTTGCTATTGGCGCTATCCTATCGCAGGGACCCATTGGTTCCGATAAACCTATCTCTTATGCTTCTAGAACTCTTAACGATACAGAAATAAATTATAGCACTATCGAAAAAGAATTGTTGGCCATTGTGTGGGCAACAAAATATTTTCGCCCTTATCTTTTTGGTAGGAAATTTAAAATTCTCACAGATCATAAACCATTACAGTGGGTTATGAACATGAAAGAACCGAATTCTAGATTAACCCGTTGGAAGCTTAAATTAAGTGAATACGATTTTACGGTTGTATATAAAAAGGGTACAGTAAATACTAACGCAGACGCTTTATCACGAATCCAAATTCACAATGAAGAGATTAGTTCAGTTGTAGCAAACCCATCCGAAGATCATGTTTCGATAGGCTCATCGACGGAAACAGCTCATTCAAGTAGAGAAAACCCGATACTCGAAATTCCCATAACTGATGAACCACTCAATAAGTTTCACAGACAATTACATTTAACAGCCGTAGGAGATATTCAGCGTAAACCTAAAGTCTCAAAACCATTCGAAACTCATACGCGAATAGCAGCTGAAGTAAGACAACCCTATTTAGCTCATGATGTAGTAAGTGTTATAAAAGAATTTGTTAACCCGAAAATTAAGACAGCTTTATTGATAGAACCAACTTTTAGTATGTTTGATATTATTCCTATAATACAGGAAAAATTTAGAAGTTCATCTATGAATCTAGTTCTAGCTAAGGTTGAATTGGAGAATGTTAGTGATTACCTTAAACAGCAAAACATAATTCAAAAGTATCACGAAGGGAAAACTAACCATCGTGGTATAAATGAGTGCTATCTCGCTCTCTCTAAGCGTTATTACTGGCCAAAAATGAAGGAGCACTTAACAAAATTTATCAACCAATGTTCAGTTTGTGGTCAAACAAAGTATGATCGTAAACCAATAAAGCAGCAATTCCGAGTTGTTCCGCCAGCTACAAGACTTTTCGAAATTGTTCATATAGATGTATTTACTGTAGAAACCGAAAAATATTTAACTATTGTAGATGTTTTCTCTAAATACGCTCAGGCCTATCATCTAAAAGACGCAACAGCTATTAGCATTTTACAAGCCCTCCTACAATTTTGTACTCATCATAATTTCCCTTTAACAATAGTAAGCGATAACGGCACTGAATTTAGCAATCAGCTTTTTACAGAATTTTCTGAAGTTCATAAAATAACACATCATAAAACGCTACCCCACTGTCCCAGTAGTAATGGTAATATCGAAAGACTACATCTGACTCTACTTGAACATCTTCGAGTTTTAAGACTTAAAAATAAGAATGACCCCGTAACTAACCTGATGCCTTACGCTATCATTGGTTATAACAGTTCAGTGCATAGTTTTACGAAATGCAGACCTTATGATATAATAAACGGACATTTTGACCCGCGTGACCCACTAGAGATAGATATTCAAAAACATCTAATGCAACAATA